CTCTCTCTCTCTCTCTCTCTCTCTCTCTCTCTCTCTCTCTCTCTCTCTCTCTCTCTAGGATGCTGTTTTGTCACATTCTACACACGGAAAGCTGCTCTTGAGGCCCAGAACGCCCTGCACAACATCAAAACCTTAACTGGGGTGAGCACTTGTTACCTCCTGGTTATTATTTGCGACTGAAAGAGGATAATAATGATGTACATGATTTACATGATGATGTAAATTTGGTCAACAAGCTTGATGCGTCTTTATATTGTTGGGAAGGTGCTGTAGCATTCTGTGGGAATTTCTACCGTACCGTTAACAGAAGGGAAATGTAATACTTGTGAGTCAGAGGCAGTTGGACGTAAGTGTTTAGTCTATTCATTAGGACTCGTCCAAGATACATGGTGTTAATAGCACGTTCACTTCATGTTGGAATTACGTCAATTAGAAGAAAATAACTCAGACGCTGAGCTGTTCGTCTCCTCAGATACGGAAATGAATCATTTCACTGGCAACTCAGGCAGTGCTAATATGAAGACATTGAAAGCTATGAAAGGTAAATTGTAGAGGAAGCTAAACTACACTGCACTATTTATTATGTAAGGAATAAAACTTAAAAGGTTATTTAAGCAATGCTGCACGAGCAAGAGAGAGGCTATACTGAATATCAGATATTCAGTATAACCGCACCATTACGAGTGCGATATTGCTTTTATACAACAAGAAATTAATATCGAGTAAGTGATATTTCGAACACGTTATGGCCAAATGTCCGGTTTATTTTTTGTTCCGCTAGCGGAAATAGCTACCAAAGAAAGCTATCACTTTATAGCACGTCGGCTGGCTGGCTAGCTAGCTCACGTTGATTTGTACATCCCTGTTAAAGGTGCTTCCGGTGAAAATTGGCATCCTTTCCTCCTCTTCCTCTTCATCTGATGAACTTTCATATTTTAAGCCAAAAGTTATATTCCTGAAAATTCGCTAACTCTACTGTAAAAACCGTTTCGAACTAGGAAGTGGAATTCTTTTACGTGCCAAACACAGACGAGAACCGAGTGATGCAAACAATGCAACGTCCCAGTGTGGTTATTAGTAATATAGGCACTCCTGGAACGCTGCTCAACCAATCAGATTGGACCAGAACAGACTTATTTAAAATAAATAATAAACAGTCGGGTGGTGTGATGAATCCCGCCACAAAGCAGAGTTACTGTTATCACCCAGAGTAACAGCATGTTTTATATGTTTTATTCCTCCAGTGCTAACGTTTTTTTATTTTTTAAAGAATGAGACATCGATCATTTTTATCTTTTTATAGTTACACTTAATGTAGTGGAACATCCACAAAACAAGTTAGTTCCTGTTATCGCTTGACATTATAACACATTATAACAGCTATAAAGAGTCGTTCTCTCACCAGGCTCTCTTTTTCTATCTCTTGAATTTAATAAGAAATAAAATGCACTGGCACGTTACTGAGGAAACTGCAAAGCTCTCTGTCTTGAAGACTTTCCCTGACTTGAAAACTCAAACTTACGGCCTTTCCGCTGACTGTTACGAAGTGCTGACACTGCAGACTCCTTCTAAAAATGACGCTTCCTCACCAGACCAACGAATCCACTTTTTAAGTCATGCTGTCTGAGCTGTGCACCTTCTGACCAATCAGAGCCAAGCATTCAAAAGCCCTGTGGTACAAGAGGTCAGTACTGGACATTGATAGGAAATGTGAATGTGAAGAGTCCTGACATTGCTCATTAATGGCACTGAGCTGTGTAGCACTGCTGTTCATTTAGTTGCATTTTAGTGTGTTTAGAATGTTAGATCAGACGCTGTCACGTTTCAGAAAAGAATCTAGGTTTATAAATCGGGAACAAATAAGTACCCTCAGTAACACAAGCACACTGCACTGTATCGCCTTGCTCAAATGTACAACCGGTTCAATGAAGATATCAATAAAACAGTTACACTAGATACACATGAACTACAACCTTGGAGATTAAAGAAAATGGAGACCAAGGGGAAGCAGTACCGCTGAGCCTGTGGGCCAAATGCTCAAATTCATGTTCTTACTAGAATGATGGCTTTGTCAGGAAATGTCCCAAAAGCTACAAAAAAAAAAAAAAATTCATAAACTGTTCTTTGGAAGACTAACCATTTTAGGCTTTAGGGATTCTACTTGGAACCGTTTCTGGAAAAGAAACCATGTTATGTAGGCTTCTGTCTGGTAGAGGGACAAACTACAGAGGAACAAAGCATTTAGGGTGCTAGATGGAGTGTGTAGAACATGTTCAGTCCAATCAGTTTTTACGTGCGCAATATGATGTCATGCTCAGTTAAGCCCGTATGTTTCTTCGGAGGCAGCGAATATCTCTGATCTCAGATGAGCTCTGTGTGCTGTACACTTCCTGCTGGAGTCTTTAGATAATCTCAGCTTACAGTGCAGCTTAGAAACCGAACATATCGACAAAGTCGATGGCTTTGTAGATGCTGATATGACTGTAAGTTGTTCCCTTGTCATTTGGTGCGACTGATGTGTTTGAGATTTGCACGTGAGCTTTGTGTGCTGTTTTTCTAATCATTTTGGTCAATTCGAGGACTTCTGAAAGTCTGAAAATGAAATCATATCCAACAGAGATTAATCCATTAACTTAAACCAAAACACACTTTACAGCAATCAGATAATTGTGTATCCCAGTTTGTGTAACTCAGTGAAGAGGTCTTCATTAGCATCATGCAGAAACTCTCTTTCTCTCTGTCTCTGTCTTTCTCTTTTTCTTCCTCCCTATACTAATCAGTGGACACTCAGACTGCCCTGTGTGTGTGTGTGTGTGTGTGTGTGTGTGTGTGTGTGTGTGTGTGTGTGTGTGTGTGTGTGTGTGTGAGGGTGTGTCCGCTCTTGCTCTTGACTCTAAGCTAAGGACGCACAAGAGCTAATCTAGGCCATGTCCTTAAGAGTGCCCTCCATCTACTAGTGCCATAATTTTTTTTTCTCTTTCATTACCTCTCCCTCACTACTCTTCCCCTGCTTTCTTCATGCAAGCAGAAAAAGAATACGCTTGATTTGGTGAGAAGACTTCAGTGGCGGTAACCGTGTGTGCGTATGGGTTTTGTTTTTGCATTTCGTTCGTTGGCTCTTATTCATCAAACTTCTTTCAGGAAAAAGTACTGAGAGCGACCTGTTTCACGTCTGATCCATCAAAACAATCACTGATTTCAGCTCAGCTGATGAATCAGCATCTGCCGTGTGGGAGCTTGACTGCACCCACTCATGTACATGCCATATGAATATTCCATTTCATTTAGCATTTTCATTACCTGAAACAAGCCCTGAAATGAATATTCTACGCATACCGTTAACAGGAAACGCTTTCAGTTCACAGGGCATTGCGGACATTTCATCGACTTGAAGGTTGCCACTGTTTATTTTCATATGATTTACGAGAAGCGCTCACTTTACGATCAGTTGCTTATAATTAACATGAAGCACACACCATTTACCGTTTATATGTGTAGGATTCGTGTAGAATACCTTCCAGTTAACAAGTTAACAGACTTGCTTATGTGGTGTATGATGTTGTATGCCACTGTGTTATGGGCTCTGATTATGGGCTCTGGAGTTGAGCAATAGAAAGGCGTTCGTCCTGTCTTCTAGAGGTCACAAGGTCCAATCCTGACGACGCCACAGGTTTCCGCAGCTGGGTGTATAAGACAGCAAAATTGGCTGTGCTTTCAGGGTGGAAGAGATGGTATATTCTCTCTGCTCTGTCAATCACAGCAACACTAGCCAACTGTAGGCATCTGTGAGCGCATGTATGTGGAAGAGGGTAGATAGCGCTTTCCGTCCACGTGAGTTACACTGCCCTGTGACTTTTGTAAAGATGTGCTTGGCTGGCTTTACATGTCTTGGAGGAAGCACTGATGACAGCTATGATGGATTGTGTTCATTTTGCCATTGTGTAATATTCAAATCTGTATTCCTTACATCAGCTTTATATGAATGTCGGATGGTTTGAGGTGATGCGTCTGCCTTATGTTGATTAGAGAAAAACAAAGTTAGGGTCTTAAAGAAAACCTCTACTGCACAATGTGTGTGTGTGTGTGTGTGTGTGTGTGTGTGTGTTTGGGAGTGGAAAATGGTAAAGTGTGCTGGCAATAGGTCTAAAGCATCTATGTAACCTTATCATATCCACTTAGCATCTGCACACACACGCGCACATGCACACACACACACACACACACACAAGCACACACATACACAACTGTCTATCACAACCATGAAATTCTGTGACAGAGAGAGAGAGAGAGATAGAAAGAGAGAGAAAGAGATGGAAAATGATGAAGAGAGACTTCCAGGGAATGTAGAGTTGTGTGTGTCTATGTGTGTGTGTGTGTGTGTGTTAGACAGAATGAAGTCAAAGTCTGACAGTAGATCAAAGGCAAACTGTGGCTGTAAGGCTATACAGAGAGAGAGGAAAAGAGAGAGAGAGAGAGAGAGAGATAGAGAGTGATGAAGGTAGTAGCGAAAGCAGGAACGTGTTTT